ATAAGATAGCAACACTCTTTTAGCAAGAGTAGTTGAGTTGAGAGAATGTATACTAAACTGAAGCAGAATATTTAATATGAATAAAATATACTCGTTGCAATAAATTGCAATTTATTGCACTTCTGAAGTGAAATTTATTTCATCTTGAACTGAATATTTCCTGTTAAATTTATATTGGGCGCAATGCATTCTCGTTACTAATTACGATGCATAGTGCAGAAATTTGAAAAGAAAATGGAGGACAAATAAAAATCGAGGAATTACGAAAAAACTCGTATATCTAAAGAACGATATAGTGACACTTGAAAATAATACAAAATAATAAAGTCATAATCAATTCCTATGAAAAACGAATGTTAAAAACAAATGAATGCGAACACTCCTGAGACACACCTAAATACCCTCTGTAAACATTGTACAAGCACGCATTAACATAACATCAATTATCAACTGTTTATTCACCCGCTTATCGACCAAAACTGGTGTCCTCGTTAGAAGTCATTGACACGTTTTCAACGCTATTCCACGAATTAACAGGCGCCATTAAGATTGTTTGCGATTCTGCGAGTAGAACAGCAACGAAATTGCTCGTCGTTGCCAAACAGTCGTTCTATCCCTGCAAGATTTTCTGAAATAATTACCACTCGACGTCCTGGTAACAGAAATATTAAACGTTGCTTCAGCAAAAGCTTAATCTGTTCGGTATTTCGGACTATGGTGCCCTAATATTAGCAATTAGTAATTAGCGCAGCACGAGTGGTCCATGGGAAGATCACGAGTTTCAATTAATTAGAGTAATTAGTCGCGACCGGAGTGTTAACTGAGGACGGAGGGTTGCCTCGATATCAGACGCAGGGGTGGATCTTGGAGTTGGTAATAACGGGAAAAGGGGTTGTGGGTGAACTCCTCTCGGCGAAGAGGCGTGATTTCCGACGACGCTTGCGCGCTTCCGCTCTGGAGTTCAAGTATGGCCCGATGAAACGATGCACACGGCTTTAACTTCTCCTTTCCGTTGAACCGATGTTATTTCAAGGAACTCCTGTATATTCTTAAATATCTGCAAAGTATTTTCTTTTTGTCATCAATTGTGCTTATATGTCAGTTATTATTGTACATCTTCTATGGTGTATTTTATCTCTGGTCTCATTTGATATTGCATTATATGCTATTAGGAAATGGTAACTGATGAATAGCATTACCTGGAAAGCAACAATTGTAATTGTTAATGTGCATTATTACTGAAATTACTTTTTCATGGTTTAATTCTGTGATTCTTTACCGGATCCAAGGATAAAATGAAAAGCTCTAAAACTTATTTCTTGAGTAGTGCAAAATTGTCGGTTGATCGTGTGATCTTTATAGAATGTAATTTTCTATTGAAATAAGTTGAATTTAATCCATTTAGTTTGTTTATTACATTAATATTTACTTTTCGGGAAAATTATTTTATATAAACTAACTATAGGAACTATACCAAAGATTTGATGAATATACTTGAGAAAGATTCGTTCGAATTAAAATTCCAAATTGTAGAAATGATTTTAACCGTAAGAAAAATAATTGTACAATATTTTATTCCGATCATTTTGATTGTTTATAATTTTGAAATTCATTTCTAATCCTCAATGAAGATCGAATACGTAAAATATAATGCATAAATAGCATTACGTGTCTACGTTCTTACTCTATTCATCTTACTTTACAAATGTCAATGCTAACGTGTAAACACAGAAAAATCTTTCAATGAAACTTCAAGAATAATCAATGAAAAACAGGTTTTGAATATTACTCGCATAAATTCACTCGCATGAAAACGTGTAATGCTCTCGCTGGAACAGGAATGGAGGCATTGAAATCAGCCGTAAGCCGAAAATAACGAGATAACCAAAGTTCTTTATTTATGAATGCACATGCGAGATCATCGACTATAAACGAAAACGCTTTGGTTAATATACACATTCTGGGAAAAATTTTGTCTGCCGCATCGATTTTCTGCTTTGGGTATTAATTTCTAATAAGTACTGTCGTATTCCATCGATAACTATTTCCATATAAATAATCAAATACTAAAAGAAAATAACCTTTTGAGACCTCGCAAACTTGTTTAATACGAACTAATTTATAATTTGATTCTGTTATAATATTTTACTATTACCAATCACGATCAACTATAATTTGTATAAAAAGAAAATTATTCTGCGAATAAAGGAATAACTAACAAATGGGGAATATAAAAAAGCCTTAAAATAATATAAAAGGTCCTTATAGGAGACTCTTTTTATTACTTTTTATACATAAAATTCTCCTTTAACGCGTTATCCACTTTTCAAAATCTTTCCTTATTTTAAAGGAATTTTCATAGAAAAACTCATAGAAACTTGGACAGTAAAATGCAACAGTAAATCTATATAACATTATATCCTCGCAAAAACGGAAGAAGTTTATCGAAAAAGACACCTGATTAGCGCGAATACCATTTCTAATTCAGAACAATAATTTCAAGTAGCCGGAACTAAAACTTGGAGAAAGCCAATAACTCGATTATTCCCATCGCTACTTTATTAACACGCAAATCTGCTCGTTAATAAAAAAATGGAAAAAATAGGAAATTACCAATCGATATCGCCGAACTGATCGAAGTAGCTCACCTTTAATCGGGCACACCGTGCTCGACTAACTTTTCAATTTCGCCCGGCCGGCCCGCGCGGTTCATTACCCATTCAATTTAAATGAATAAATGAAACGGTTTTTCGATTTTGTTTGTTTCCTTTGATTTGCCAGTGCGCCGCGGAATTTTGTTAATTTTCAACAATGATGATTGCAGGAAGCGAGCCGAGCGAGAGAACGGGCACAGATTGTTCCGCTTGTCATCCACGAGGAATATTTTACGGTCAGATTCATAGCCCGTCTGCGCCCACTAATTAATCGACACGAGATGCAGTAGCAGCAGGAGCAGGACGAGGTGGTATAGGAGGTGGGAAAAGGGCCGGAGGATGGGGACAATGCGAGAGAGGGAGAAAAGAAAATCGGGGAAAAGGGAAAACGAGAGAGAGAAAGAGGTAGAGAGTAATTCAAAAAGACACTGTAAATTAGGGGTCTCCGTCGGTATTCGGGCTGGATCTATTGAATTCCAATTAGTTTAAACCGCGTTGATTTGATGGTTCTGTTCTGCCTTCTTTCTCCTTTTTTCTCTAGTAACTTTTTGTGGATCAACGCTGGAAATATTGGAATTAATGAAAATAGAAATTTACGCAAATGAATATCGCTGGATTTAAAGAAAAAGCTTCTGAATTTTAGTGATCCTATAATTGAAGTTTAATTAGGATTGTTATTGGTGCAGAACATGAAAGAACGAATTTCTTGAATTAATAAAAATTAACTTAGGGATTTTATTATATTTTATAGTTTCGAATAGAGGGGATTGCTGTAAATATTTGAAAAACAACTAAGTCGGGTTATAGGATAACTATTCACCTCAACACGATTAAAATATACAAGTGACGAAGACCCCTATTGTAAATTATCGTTTCACCTTTTAATTACCCGACTTTTCCATCGATGCGATCTTTTGCCAAAGAAAATGTTAATTAAAATTTGCATCGCGAGACGTGGCAATGAAAATAGTCTTAATCGAGTAGTGTCGATAAAAATGTTATGTATTTTTTATCATTCAGCAAACTCACAAAATGCACGAAGAGATAAACAAAAATCGATCGTCGCCCTCATTCTTGCGCTCATATGTTAATTTTGTAGATTAATTACGCTCGCACAGAGAACACTATTATAAATATTCGTGTAACTAATTTTCACGATATACATATGCATATAAAGCGCGTCGAAAAGAAGGAATTTCGCTCAAGACTCGTATGTAGAAAAATATTTATTTTCGATTCTACTGATGGTGAATCTCGACCATGTAATTGTGTACTAATTGCGTACTCAAGTTTTGTGCGTATAGTGAATCGATCGTGTTACACTTTGCAACGAAACTTACCAGAAATTACCTATGTACGTGTGTACATACACGTGTGAATGACGAGAAAAGTACACTTAACGATGAACTTCCAATGTAATGAGGAAAACTTGACTCTGGAAAAGAACACTTATCCCTAGAATTAACATAATTGTAAAATTTTGTAATGTCCACAAATTACAGTTATACCTATTAGTGAACGTAACCATCGCCAGTTCGTGGATAGATTAGTTTCGTCCATTTTGTTTTTCCGGTGTTAATTCAACGTATTTCGCACTGATTATTTCAACCTTATACATCAAGTACCATATAATAACATTATAAGCCGCAGTACGAAATTAATTGCTAATCTATATAACACAGAATTAAAATATTTCACCAACGAAACATCTTGATCCCACGATCTTGATTCTTGATTCCAGGGTTAAGTACAATTTACTAAAACACACATATGTGCATTCGAGGATACCAAGAATACTAAAGATTCCTTTACATTGTACTAATTGCTCTACTTAGTGCATCGAGGATCCAGTACAGCTTGAAATTGGCTTCTCGGTGCGAGTCGATATGCTGTGCAATATACTCTTTACGGTTATTAACTTCTCGAGCGAATGGCTGCGCGTTGCGATCGCTCCACTGATAAAGAAAATCGCAAAAATATCCAAAGAGCGGGTGTTCGTACAGACCCCCATTAAAATACCAACAGGTTCTCTCAATCTATCGTCGAATACGAATCTACAGGAAATTACATAATATATATTCGAGTCGATGGGGAGAATCTGTATCACGTCATATCGTGAGATATGCATTCGGCGAAAGTAATTTCTTCTGCTTTTTATCTCGTAGAATACCGGTGTATATGCAACAGCTGTAAGGAACGCCGTGTAGATTATACGAAACGCATCGTTGACAAAAATAACAAGTGTAGGCGACAGCATGTGGAAACACTATGTGTAATCCGGGTAACAATAAAAGTTCTGATCACTGGTGTATGTTGGTATTATCTTGTTCATTTACAAAGTGTTTTGTTTTATTGAAAAAGTTACTCCACGAGTATTTTTTATTTTATTATATATTAATTAAAAGAGACAAACTAGGGGAATTTGTTTCCCAAACCTTTTGCCTTTAATTATTTTGAATATTACGTATCTTTTAGATTATGTATCTAAAGAAGAAAATTTCTAAAACAGAATCTCCCAAAAATCAAATAAATAATCGTACTAACGATATTATTAACGATAATCGTAAACTAACGATATTTCAAATTAATATTAAATTATAAAGAACAAATTAATACATTTCCTAACAAATGAATTTCCTATACTATCCGAATTCCCTATACTATAAAAATTATACAAATCACGATGCAGTAACCAACCATATATGTAAGTATATTAAAATTCCATTATTTTAAATAAATCACATTAACGTTCTCAAAGCTCAGCTTACTATGAAAAAGAAATTTATTTCTTCCTACAATTGCATAGCATTTTCAAACCTCGTCGAAATTTATTTTTAATTTTAATTGAATCATAATTTAATTCTAGAAGTTTCGTTCGTAGCTAGTGAAGCATTCGCGTAAAGCGTAACGAATGCAAATCTGCATCGGATTGGCCAGAAGAAACAAATCCTTTTCAATTACTGAAGAAACTGGTGTATAGTAGAATGCACGGTGTAATCTTGGTCGTTGGGTGTATCCCGGCTGTGAAATCCTTAGGGAGCACTCCCGCCTGCTACACGAGGACGCTCCAATGAGCAGAAACCCTTAACGGATACAGTTTGTAGTCCCTGGACGATCGTCAGCAAAATTTCAGATTTCGACCACATATGGTACTTACGGTGCTATTCTCGTAAGCGCACTGACAAAGAAATGGGAAATCGTCTTTTCACCTAACATACACAATCGACGAGGAGGACAGTTATCTCTAACATTCCGAGAAGAAACTCGTGCAACAGATGGTATTAATTCTGGTATTAAAATGGTATTAAAACTATACTATATATGTAGCCCCTTTCTACACTATAGTAAAATAAATAATAATATATATGAATAGATGTATTTACTATATCCAATACAGTAAAACTGTATTCTCCCAATATTATAGTAAATAAATCAAATATCGCTATATACAATTTTTAAGAATTTTTAAAATCAGAAATTTGAAAATTATGCATTCCTTCCATTTCCTGAGTTGTATTATTGCAGTAATTATCAACTTACCCTCGACATGCTTTACTCGAGTGATTAGAAAAGTAAGATCAATCGCCATAGCAAATTTGTATGCTGAGTTTCATCGATTTCATATTTCTAAAGTTTTCCATTTTTCTATTCTTATTTTCATTTTTCCTATTCATCTTCGAGCCATGTTCAGCATGTGAGTTTACTTTGTTATTCGCTTGGAAGGAATAATTTTGGAAGATTTAATAGTGACCATAAAAGTATTGCAATTAGAAGTATTACAAATATGGCACAATACACACGATGTAGCTATAAATCCAATCTAGCCTCCCATGAAGGGAAAACTTATTTCACGTTCCCTTATAGTTTGCAATACATTCCACCGGACATCTCGTGTTCGTGAACGAAGCAGATCCTTGCCTGTTACAAATACTTCCGGTTTCGGAGTCTAGATGACCCTTTATGGTGGCACGTGAACGTGTATCGTCGGGACGTGAGGTAGTTACGGGAGAAGTCGGCGCGAGAAAAGCCACTCGTACTTGTAGATTCCTCCCGAGAGGCGACGGAGTCTCCGTTCACAAAGCCAATTTGCCGGAACATTAGCCGCAGACGGTGTTTCTTCAACGATGCCTATTATTGATATTGCCCATTCGCGATCGACTATAATCGATAGTAGGGCTGCACGAAATTCGACTCGCCTCTTTCCCAAAACTCGGCTTGTCGATTAATCCTCTATTTGGTGAATGCTAAATCTTTCTTCTGTCTTCCTACGAGGTTCCTTGGGTGTTTGGCTAGCTAATTTACAAAAAAACTGGAAGAAAAATAGTGAAGCATTGACAGGAAGATTCTACGGAAATTGAACTAAAATATTTTTCTCGGAGGCAGTGAAACTGTAAAAATTTAAAAGTTAAACTCTACAAATTTTTTTTAATTCTTTAGGGACACGTGGAGTTTGAAATTCCATAAAAGAAGTGAGTGTTGCTCGAAGAATATCTCGTGATGCGGGGTTAGAATTCTTTTAAAGTACTTCCACGATTCCAAGAATAATTTGGACAACTCCCAAGTGTAATTCGCGTCTCGAGATACCCTAAATAGTTCCAAGCCTGTCTTTTAATCCAGAGGTAGCTTAACTTTTTTAAAGCTTTTTAGCTATATATCCGAAGATTTGCCGTTCAATATTGAGCTTAATTCATTTCGTCCATGATGGAATCTATTCTTCCTCTATTTCGATCTCAATATCTCAAAAATAGCTCATTATTAATCAGAAACACGTGAAACCAAAAATACTGAAGGGTCATAAAAGGTGATTAAAAATTTAAAATAATATACGTACGAAGTATAATACTATAATAACTACGATATCGGAGGAAATACTGTATAAGTAATATGTCAGTTTTTGTGTCACTTTGGAAAAGGCCACAGAAAGAACATGTTTTTAACGGTAGTCCTATGGAGCAGCGAAGAACGTATCGAAAACCAGTATAACGAGCAAGGATTTAAACACAACTTTTAGTCATCTACAATAAAGTCGACAAGCTGGGTATTTAAAAAAACATTTTAATTGCAGGAGGTAAGCCGCTTACGTGCCCCTCTCTCGTGCATTAATAAAAACGACCCTCCTGTTATGGGATGCGAAGAAGCAGCGGGTATTGTATCTGCGAGAAAGTAATTCGACTTTTCGTTTGAAGAAAAGCGTCCCCTGACGAATATTCCTTAAACTCAAAGAGAACAACAATGAAAGAAATTCAGCAGAATGCTCCGCTATGAAATCGTTCAAATCGAAGAAGCAAGTTACTTTGGAATCCACGATAACATTGCAATTCATCAACAGTTTTTGATCGAATAAGATTAACATAAGAATCAATTGTATTTACTTAGTACTACAATTCTCATTAATATTTATTTCGATCTTGCTCAATCAAAAACAAAATATTTTAATGATATACTTTTAAAATATTTATAATTTAATTATCTCTTTAATTATAATTAATATTACAAGCCTTTATCGGGACTTTTTTAATAAAATCAAATGATATAAACTGTCAGGCACGATATTAAATGGCAGTAAAAATTCATCCGAATATAAAATCAACTTACCCTCCAATTTGCACAGAACCTAAATCTCTTAAAGTACCCTGAGATCCATCTTGAAAGTTTTTACTTCGATGAACACTGGCAGGAAAAAATCCAAGAACAGAAACACATAACGAGAAACTAGCGCTGTAATTGGGCATGAAAAGGCTGTATTTTCCGTGGTTAACTTCGGGAAAAGCTGAGCTTGCACTGGCCACGTAATAACACGGGACGAGAAAACGCGAATGGAGGCTCGATCTCGCGGCACGAGGAACTAACATGTGAAAGCGACGCCACGTGGAGAGGATGCTTTATGAGGGTTCCTTCGAGTTGATGGTATGCCTTGTTACCGGGAAGAACCGTGCTCCCTCGGGTAATATCGTATACAATTATGTCCACAGAAGGGAAGATATGCATTATGGATGCAGCTTCTATACCCGGTAAATCATGTCGCAGGCTTGGTTAACTCTGCAAATGATCTGCTGAATCACGCCTCGCCACCTTCCGAACGATAAGCAAGCCTTCTTCGATTTTACGATTCACGCTCTTTATTCTGAACAGGCCAGCATGCAACGTTGGACAAAAAGAGGTTAAGAATGATATTTAATAGGAATAGGTTAACACTTTCCTAACTATTCCCCTCCACCTTTGTCATACGTGGCGTCATCAAGGGAAATATTTTTCTATAAAACTACCAAACACGTATATAGGTAATTCTTTCAGGAAGAAGGATGGACCATGTAATGAGAATTGGTGAAATAAGGTTTAAACTTCCTTAATTAGCATTCTTAAAATAAAGTTTAATAATGGAAGGATATGTAAAAGAATTTTGTAATTCTGTTGATTAGAAGAATGATGGTTGAAAGAAGGTATAGAAAACTATGATATATGAAGGTACATAAACTACATTATGATTGGCATTAAATATTATGGCTTATCTATCCTCGAGCAGGCTACAATAATTAGTAATTTAAACGGGATAATTTAAAAAATTGAATTTCCATTGCAGAAACTTATGTTTGACAATTTCTAAATGTAAGCTACTGTAATTAAATAAATAAAGAAGAGTTAGGAAAGATCAGTTACTTTTATTATATTACTTTGCAATAAAATAGCTAACACTATACAATTTTAGTGAATAAATTTTAATCGATATAAATATTATTCTTATAAAAAATACCTAATCATTCAGAAGAAATATGTATTTTTCCCATGACAGATGAATAATTACACCAATGTATACAACAAATTTAAAATTCTTAATATTTATTTAACAAGATGAACAAGAAGACTCTAATACCCACAGATGTTTAAAGATTGCTTGAAAGGACGATTTTTGGAAAGATTCATTGAAGACCAAACGTAGCATGACATAGAGCACACTTTATTTCTTAATTAGTGATAATAATTATTTAGCATTGACCGAAATCGAGTACATGTCGTATATTCTTCTTCGATCGGAGTTCAATAATCATAATAGATTAATTTATTAATATAAGTGTAATTAATTGTAATGTATTGTCTGAAAGTATCACTGCGTTGCATCCACTGGTCGTCTCTTTGCACTTCGTCAAGAACAACCGAACGAATCAACGAAACGAGATCAGAGACAAGACTAAACAGAACAAATACAGCCTACGAGAAATAAAGAAAGTGATATTCCCGCTTCCTTTCGTGTTTCGTCACGAATTCCAGACATTCTGACGCTTACAAAATATAAGTGGACCAGAAACGCGTGAAACACGAAAGAAAGGAAGGACTTAGCGTTATAGAGAAATAAAAGAAGCGAACGGAAACAGGATGAAAGAAAGATGGCGTCTGTAATTCGATTCTTCCAGACCAAGGATGCTCAGTGACTGCGGGGAGCGATAGATTCGACGTCTGCCCGACCCCGAAATAGTTAGATTACAATTAAAATGCGGAGAGCTTGTCACTTCGAACGAAATTCATGCGTTCGAAAGTAGCAGTTACCCTCTCTATCTCTTCGTTACGTAAAATATACTACCTAAAGAAGTAAGCCTACTTATATGACAGAAATAATATATTTCTATAAAAAAATACTACCTAGCGAAACATACGCATACATCTGTATATATATATATATATATAAAAAGCTTATTCGTCGTTATTACGAAAATTAAAAAAAAAAAAAGAACAAGAAAAATGCAACAACGATTACTAAAGACGAGTAAAAACGATCAAAGTAATAATCGTTCAAATGGACGATCGCAGATTGGAAGCAAACGTGCTTCATCGTTCGAAAAGGAGGCAAGCCCTCCGCAGAACAATATTCAACATTTAACAATAGCCAACATTTATAGAGTAAGATACCGATTTGTTTTTTTTTTTTTTTTTTAGTTATTCATAGATCGTTTCATCTCGTTCTTTTCTTTTTTCTTCTTTTGTATCCTCTACAATCGTCGATCGTATTATATTTCCAGTTTACAAAGGTTGCTGTTACAGGTCCGCGAGGGCAACAATAAATATCACGCGACGAGAATTAGTCCATCATGATACTCTTTATCCTTCTTCTTTTCTTTCTTCTTTCAAATGTATTCCATACAAACCAGTACAGTGTTTCTCAAACGGCAAAAAGATAATCTTGGTGATATGTCTCTCGTTCCAAGAGAATACTTATATTGCTATCATTTGCTTGTGGACGCAAGTTACAGGACTCCCAACATTTTCAAAACACGATTTTTCTTTTCTAACCTACACCTTTGTCTTCCTCTCAATAATTCTTCTCTACGTTTGGAAGATGAAACTCACGCCTCACTAATTCTCGTATTCTTATTAATTGACGAAATTCCTAGCAAGGGCTAACGCTCGAAAGAACATAAGGCTATCACAACCTGTGGTCTGTAACTACAATCGATCAGGCTGATATTATTTTCTCTATCAGCTGTTACATTTTGCTTCTATTCTCCGATAAATTAGGAAATCATCTCTTTGTTCCCCTGTATGGCACCTAGTCGCTACAATTATTACGTTCTTTCGCAAGCGCGTCGCTCTGCCAAAGACAAAATCACAAAGAACGAGAGTTTTGTTTCTTTATTGCTCGAAAGAAGAAATAACAAGATCGCTTTTTGTTCGACCGCGAAAGGTCATTGACATCTAAACATCGAACCTGACGGAAGAATTTATTAATTTATTTGTCCCTTTTCTGATGCTTCCTCGATCGTGCTTTTGAGAAACACTGATCCTGCGGTCGTGACAACTGATTTAAACAGTGTGACGTTAAACTTTTAATATTGCACAACATCGATAACACTTCGATTTTTTTTTTTTTGTCAGAAAAAAGTTTTCATGTGACCCACGATGAATTACAGTAGATAAAATTATATCAATGTCTCTTTTTCTCTTGCTTCTTCCCTTCTTATTCTCTTTTTTCTCTCTATTTTGTCTCTGCAATGACTGAACGCTGATGACGATAGCAGCAGTAGTGGTATTCAAATATGCCATATAATATGATAACTTGCAACGATTTTCATTTTCATGGCAAATCAATCCATAAGTTTCATTCTTGACAACTTTAAACGACACCAGAACAACGTCCCAATTCAAATTGTCAAATTGATTTATACATGTATCTAGCGTTTTTAATAAAGAAAATATATTACTATTCATATGTTACTTGAGATCATAATAATGCAATTACACTGATAAAAAGAATACCTAACGTTTAGATCAGTATGTCCACAAAAGAGTCCTTTTATACTGCTTTATTCCTCTCCGTGTACCGCCACCACAGAAGTAAAGGAAAGTTCAAAAGAGATTGATATATAATACTCTTTTCCTTTATATCACTAGTAAAACAGAACAAGATGATCAAAAATTTTCTATACATGTAGTCTGACATTAGAAGGAATAAAAATAGTTCTCTAAGCTCTAAAATTTAAGTTAGATAGCACTGGTTAAGTATAAATAATACTATACATTTAATAATACCGACTGAATAATCTGCTTTGAGTACTTAACTCGTAAAACTATCTCGATTATTAAAATGCTGTAACCGTAAAATACATTCAAATTGCAACGTTGTTCTAAGGATGTCGTGATAATTCATAAAATACCAACTATACGAAACTGTCATTGGAACGGTTCACAATGTAAGGTAAGGCCAAGAACATTTTCCATAGTGTAAATGTTTTACCGTAACAGTAAATTGCTTAGCAAATATTTTGTTTGAAGATTTACCTAAGATCCACGTGGCAACAAATAACCAAGTTCCTTAATTACTTTCATTGTTCTGGCGGTTGAACTCTCATACAAAGTCCAGGAAGGGTGGAAATCAAAATACCTAATCGCGAAGACAATTAATAAGTACTTGGATTTCTAGATTGAAGTCTATTTTTCTTCGAAAATTTCACGTTTTAACAACAATTTGAGTTCATTCATTAGGAAGTTACACTTAACAAAATCTAAAAGTCCTAAAAGAAAGAAATATTAAAAGTCTACAATGACGTTAACGCGAAAGGGGATGAAATATTAATGATTATTAAATTAACTAAGAGCATTGATTGACGGAGATACATATTTGTTAATCGTATTTGTGTTAATGCTCTCCTTAACGACACGAAGTAGTCACAATGGAAAACACGAATGGGATCATCTCTACCTTATTAATCGACGACTTCGTGGAAGAGGTTCGCCGCCATTTTGAAGATCACTTAAACTAAATCCTAATTCTCTATTCAGTGTTATCTAAATGATTAAAAAGGACAATAAACGATACGAGATAAACGTCGAAAAACGACAAGGGAATGGAAACGAATTACTATACAACGTACGAATACATATTAATAATACGAGTTATATGATTTCCTTTTTGCTGCGCCGTGCGGACCAACGCAAAATGGATGACATGATTTTGATGAAGATCTCTCTCTCTCTCCTTTGTATTAGGAATAGTGCGCTTGAAAACATGATAAACAAATAACAAAGCGAATGTACAATATGAGAAAATGAGCATTGAACGATCACTGTATCGAACGTTTCGAATAGTTAAATGAGTAACGAAAAATAAAAACTAGATTTCGAGCAGATTGATTATTTTTACTTAACAAACGATGCAATTTTTTTATGTCAATCACATACGAAATAAGTATATGATTGCCGATCGAATGAATGAAAAATACTTGAGGTAAAGAGTATTTCGAACCTTCTTCAAAAATTTCAATGCAGTCTTGGCGCTCTGACGTCTTTGTGCAATTAAACTTTGGTGAGAAACTAACGGACGATGTTACACAGATGACACATGAAATGATGTTAGAAAGTGAGAAAAGAGCCGCCTTTGACAGTGGACTGCCATCGTAGGTACTTCACAATGTATAATGTGTGTGTACATGTGTATTTCGTGTATGTGTATCCATGTGTTCATACTTAATCGTAGTAATGTAAGTCGTGTGTAATATATATATGTATCTGCGCGCGCGAAGGTCCTTACGTCGATAAAAGACACTATAACATTATATATGTACATTAACATGCGTATAGAGCTATTCTTGGGGACAAGAGGAAAGAAATAAAACAAGTGAATAGAGTAAAACTCGAGGATCCATCCGTTTCGAACAAGCGGGAACCACAACGTAAGTGATTTCAATAGAGAGTAATCTTGAAAGAGAGACTTTTAGGCTAATCGGAGCATAAGATAATTCTCATGGTAAACGCTGGTGAACGAATGCAGGGTCTTTGGTTTCGAGACGCACCGCGTCTTCTTAAGGTAATGGCACTACGACTTGCACGTAAGTTACTGGGAAATAACCCGTGCGACCGTTCAAACTACCCTCGAACCAATTCTCGTCGATCTTCTTGGTCAAAGTGATCGTATCGTTCTCCTAGAAACAGATGCATGATTATTAGATGCATTATCTTTTCAATATCAACCACAGATGGAGCAAGAGCACATAATGATTTTATTATGCATAGTCCAATCCTTGAGTAGAAATTACACAGTCCAACAAATTTTAACTTTTTCTTTAAATCTGTAATATCCATTGTAATATTACTCGTAGAGTTTACTTTTCTGAACAAGAATTCGTAATGCAACGTTTTTACTTCTTGCGTAGTACTTGATTTTAATCAAGAATACAGAAGAAATAAAAATATTTTGACATACATATACGTATCATGGAAATTTATCCTATGGTTTATAAAACATGTATAAATTAAGAAGAAATTATTAATAACAAATTAAAATTGTTAATAACAAATTGCTCGAAGCAAAAATTTACAATAAAAACGAAAAAATCAACAAATTTTTCGTTATTGTAGAAGACACGATATTATTATTGTATCTTCGAAATCGGCAACGACCGTGACTTTCCGTTAACCTTTGGAACATCATCAGCTATATATACACCGGACGTTAGGATGAAACCTCATTTGCAGGTTTCTCCTCAGACTGGACAGATCTACCTCACTGGACCTGGTTGGTGATGCGATGGAGATGACCAACAGTCAAGGGTCAGTGGTCAGTGATCATTCCTCGGATTAGTTGATGGTGCGAAGGGCTGACCAACGGTCAAGAGTCCAGTGGTCAGTGATCAGTGGTCAGTGGTCATTTTTTTTTCTAAAATTGATCAATTTTCAAATCATCGTTGGAATATTCGAATATTTCATCGTTGGTTTGTTTTTCTCTCATCGTAGAGATGTTTCTGTCTCATCGCAGAGATGTTTCTGTCTCATCGTTGGGTTCTTCATTTCATTTAATTGATTTTTGTGGTTTATATTCGTTTCATTTTTATTTTATTTTCCTTTGCTAATTCATTTCCCCTCACGTTAATATATTTTCTTTTCAGGTTTCTCAAGATTTCATTCAGAAGATTTTATTCAGAAGAAATTAATGAACGTCGTGGGATGCATGAATTTAGATCTAAGTAGTTATAAGATAGATTCCTAGGTTAAGACCTACATGTGCGCGTTATCTGTACGAAGGTAAGCTACCTAACTTGGAGCGAATATATCCATTCTGTTTTCCTTCTCGTTTACCAAATAGAACAAAATTATTCTCGCAAAAATCGCGATCGTTCTTAAGTACCGACTAGCCTACGCGACGTGCTCCCGTGTACTCGACAATTCCATGTTTCGTATGTCATCCAAACGACTAGTTCCGACACTCACTTCAGCCACTGCCACTCTCGTCATGCATCGGTTCTAGGGTGGTCGGCGGGCTGGTGTTTCACCTGGTATCAATACGAGGGTCTGCGGCCCTGGTCGTCCTGGGTGCCAATCTGTGCACACGACTGGGGTATGGGTCTTGCAGTCGGACATTGCATATCGAACCTGCGGTCAGACCCCATGGGATGATTCCTTAATTGGTTTCTCCCCCATGTGGCAGGGGAACAGCGTGACCGGTTGCAAAGCCTCGCTAGGGACCCTGGGCTTGATTCTAGGTGTTTCGCTGGTTCGTCGACCATCTTCGTTCACGAGTAAGTCATGGCAGAGTCTGTGGTGGCTGGGCTGAGCTAGGTTCGATCGGGAGGGTGCCGAGGCATGAAGTTGTCTTGTACACGGGAGTACGTTTCGTATGCTAGTCGGTCTTTCGAATAATCGCGAACTCGTTCGGGCGCGTCGCGATTTTTCACTTGCTCGCGTTTTTCATATTTCATTCCCCATTTTAGATAGGAACTTGGAAATATTAGTGTTTGTTAAAACACAATCTCTTAGCGTTGCGACAGTAGAGCTTTAGTATAATGAATCGAAATCCTTTTTGTAAGACACGAAATATAATAAAGTATCAGTAGATCACTTTAACTTCTTTCGCTCCAAGTTAGGCTAGGCTACCTTTGATACAGATAGCGCCAGCAGGCTGCGTCACTAGGGCGCATGTCGGGTCTTGATGCGTAGCCACCTCCTCGTGGTGAGACCTGGTAATTGGTATTGTTTTTCAAAGAAAAATCTTTGTGAAACAATTCCAAGCTAAGAGCTACGTTCCAAGTTTAAAATATTTCCTATCTATTGTAAATTTTTAATGTTACTTTTTAACTTTATCAATTTTCCGAAGTTGGTGAACACTTATAATTATTACGTATTGGTTTCCAGGAAGGTAAACTCTACAAGGATTATCCAGTGGATATAATAGATTAAAATTTGTGTTGAACAGTGTCATTTATAATTAAATAGCTAGTAATGATAAAAAATTAAAAATAATAAAGCATTTAAATAAATATATCAATTCTATTCATGTAAAATGTCACAAAATTTTAGCAAATAATTGTATTATATTTACTTTGAAGCCAAGTTCTCCAGGATTTTCTGCCTCAAAATCGTATAAAGCTGTGCAGCAAGGTTGTCTTGTCATCGGAGTCCTGGCTGGCGATTTACTCGGAGATGGCAGGGGAGAAGCTGAAAAGTATTACAGTTCTCAAAATTATCTTAAATACAAATAAACAATGCAACAAAACATTAGGCTTACTGCAAAAGCCTTAAATTAGAACACTACGGTATCTAAACACCTGCTTGGTGATTTGCATCACATCTTGAATAAAACAAAATATAATGCAAAATTAAGTGCAATATTTAAAAATTAAAGTAAACAGCTGTTCTCGCTAAAATCTATATAAACTTATGAAGTACAGCGAGTTACAATAATATTCGAGCATAACACTGTCTCAAAAAATATTCTTTTATACATTTGCCAATTAAATTAGGAAATACAATGTTTATTAGCTCTACAGATAAATCTGATTTTCTTACTTTTTGTACAGTATTAAACTAATCTATCTTATCAAGAAATAGTACCGAATAATATAATGATCTTGATATTAAAATATTATTGTAAATCACTACATCTTAAAAAATTAAGGAAAACAAAGTTTTCTATAAATTGTATAAAAAAATACATATAAAATGAAAGTACGATCATTATATAAGCATGCGTGTAAATTATTAATGATCGTTAAATGGCTAAGTTAGAGTACATCGATAGAAGTACACAAGAGGCAAAACAGTAATTACTTTCTTGCCCTGTTTGCGGCGTACGAAAAGCGATAGAATTGAAATTCAATAATTAATCGATTGATCGAACCCTACGGTAGGAGAAACCAACCCCATGCAAAATTTACCATTGGCAGATTGTGGCGGGTTTCCGGCTGGAAATAGCTCGAGCTGCGAGCGCTTCCCGTCCACATGAATCGGAGACCCGGCTCGACTTGCCCCTACATCATGTCAGAAGGACAGACATTCAAGTATACGAGAGTATACACACAGAACAGTCGAACAACGTGTGATGAAAGTGTTAGAGATGAATTTAATGAAACTGTTCGTGAGTCAAAGTGTACATAATTCAAGTATACGTACAATTATTTCCCAAATTAATGAAAACACAAAAATTATTCGTTATAAAAATTGTTTAACTTGAAGAAGGAAATAAAATAAAATCGCAATCGTGTTAAATGAAACATTATCACTAAAATCCCTTCAACAATAATTTTAATAAAATTTACGTTTATATCAGATTCTTTTCCTAGTCTTAACTAACTTTTTTTGGACTCTGAATAACTTAACAAAAGGAACCACTAAAACCAAAATTATTATATAGCGTCAGTTATCAAAACCATGTTAGTCGTTGAAATTAAGATCATAGGAAGATTGTTGCTATTGGATACACAATTACCAACTAGTTCTATTCTGATTCTGATAAAGAAATTATAGAATAAAGTAGTTCAACTTCCATATATAGACTGAAAAATGACTTCAGCGTTTTTTGCTTCATATTAAAACATTATACCAAGTTATACCAACGTATGCATATGTAATATATTCCTTTGAGTGCAAAGAAGAAAAAATAATTAATGTCCATTTGACAACCAGAGAAATGGCCAGGGAAATTTAGTCAGGAAAAAGTATTACAACGTATACGGCCATAGTGTATAGTTGCAGGACATGTAGAGAGATACTGCATGACAGAGGAAACAAGAAACAGACAGCCAAACCACCCGCAAGTATCATTATCTTGTATGTGTGTGTGTCAAATGTGTTTTACCGTGGAGTGAGAAGTTCCCACCGTTCATAGCATCCGATGTAGGTAATGCATCAACGTGTAAATCAGCCAGTGTCTTCGGCACAAATTCCATTTTTGGTTTGTTTGCCGCTTCGTCTTTCCTGCAATTAAAGATAAAGGCGTTAACGCAATATTATAATAACAAAATAAAAAAGTCAATGATAACTGCCCCTACAAATATATTAAACACAAAACCAAAAAATTATGGAAAAGATGATTCGTATAATAAAATATAATTATTACATTATGTCTAGAATCAAAATATTTAATGTTGCAGTATGAAGTGTAATTTTTTAATTAAAGTTCACATCCTCTACATATTTTCTTATATTATAGAAAATAAAATAGGTAATTAGATATTCTGATTCTAATGAGGCACACCATACGAGTACATACTTCTCCAAGAGTGTTTCTGTTAGTGTTCTCAGAATGTCGGTACACTGCTGATGGTACTCCAGAAGAGCTTCACTGAATGTCGCCAACTGTGCCACTTGTTCTACCTAAAAATAAAGGGATATGTAAGACATCGGTAAAATATTTTTATATTATGAGCTAGATGTAAAATTTTATAATCATTTTATAGCTTAAGAAAATACTAACAAAAATAAAAAAATAAAAGGAACAATTAAAAATAAATATATTTTAATATATTAACTTTTACAATTTCCGAATTTATTAGACATAAGAAATAATACATAATCATTTCTCGCTTACATCGTTCTCCAAAAGGTTGAACATGCCCACTTGGGCCAAATGGAGACTTTCAGCGAATTTCTCCTCAGCTTGACGAATTTCGTCGTCTGAAACGTGAGAACCTGCTCGCAAAATTTGCGCCAGTGAAGATATTAAAAATTGCACTACTGGGTTGCTCCAATGCCTAAGTCCGATACATAATAAGATATACAGACAAAAAGAAACAGAAGCTAGCAAAATTAAATCGTGTGAAACGCCTAGAAGTTTTGATCGTGAACGTTCCTTCTTTCTCTAAACGCAAGCATGTACAGGTATTAAAATTTCATTATAAAAGATACAAAAATACAATGCATTCAACATTCGCAGTACGTTCGGTGCACTTTTGAATTACATTTACATCGTTTATACTTTGTATTCTTGATGTAATTGTACGAAATGTAATTGAAATGGTGTAAGTCTACATATGTTTAACTTTAAGAAATATCTATGAAGACAAATGAAAATCTAAAAAGAAAATATACTTTATATTGTCATTTATGTAAATCTAGCAATGTGAATCTATAAATTAATGTGATTTTTACGATATAATGATATAAGATTATTTTTATAATTTTTGAAATTACGAAAGACTATTTTCATGATATAAAATGGGACAAATGAAATATCAAAGAATTTAATTATGACTACTTTTATACGAAGCGTCGAAGTCTATGAAACTGAAAATAAAACGAGGTAACAGTTATTGTACGTGAAGAAATCTCGTACCGGTATACGGTGACGAAGTCTTCGCTGGACTTCCGAAATGAGGACTGGCAGATCTTTTTCCAGTAGCTAATGATTAAGAATGCAGACAAACAAAAGAAAAAGGAAATTTCTTTGCCGTTCATGTAAAACGAAAAATTTCATCAATTAATAACAAATAAATTCTGAACTTTATATTGAAATCATCTGTTATGGACAAACCTATAATGTAAATTCTACTGACTTCCATATACAGGATATTTTGTCTGTTTACATCTCTCAAATATTTTTAATATTACCATCGGTACAAAAGATATTTGAAAAGGAAATTATTTAATTCGAGTAAGACTAAGTTACGAAATTATTTTCAATACTATATTACGATAATTATTTTATCCATTTAACAGATAAAATTATAAATTATAAATTATCTCTTAAGTAAAATATCAAGTAGATTCTCTTTACGAACTATTCAATAAAATTGTTCGATATTTCGTATTATTAAACCTATCATATTATATGCAAACCAGATTTAATATAATTTCTTTATTTTATATCTAATAATCCTATAACATGAATATATATTTCTGAGTCTAATACCTTTACTAAGCCAATTTAATAACTTCCCCGAATGTACTAAAATAAAAAAGTAAATATTCAAAAGAAATCTTACGTCAATCTGCTCTAAATACCTAAACCTTGTAACATGGCAAGATACCCTGTATAAAAGAATGGAAAAGTCATCGTGATAACATCAACCAACTATAATTCGTCTATGACAACGTGCACATGCAGCAGGACGTGCGAATGGAATGCCTGTAGAGTAAGACAGGTGCGTAACAGAGAATTGGAATCGAAGGTGGAACGCGTGTAAATCATTTGATAGAACTGGATTCCATTTTTTACTGCCTTTCCCAGACGGCTGGATGGTTTATCTTCGCGGTAAAAAAATGGCACGTATATACGTATGTATAATTGCAAACGACACGCGTCGAGTTTTCGTGTTCGTTGCAAGGACGCAACATGTACGGTCCCAACGTGTTGTGCTTAAATAAATCAATAAACGTCGCGGAGAGATAAAGTCAACTCGCGGCCAAGTATACCTTTCGCTTGACGTCTTCGCTTGCAATCGAAGTCCAGCCTTCGTCCCTGAAGTTTTTTCCGGTGATGCTGAAAACAAAAGAGAATATCAGTTCCATTCACGAATACTCTCTCTTTCCC